TCTGGAAGGAGATTTCACAGTCTCCCTCAGAAATACAATTCGGTTTTTTAACAGCCCTCATTGTAGAAAAGGTCATTTTAATATCCAACCAGAGTCCCAGTTGCTATAATAAAGGTCATGTCCTCCTTTTCAGTTCTTGTTAAAGCTGGTGAGGAGTTGGTTACCAGCGTCATCATAAATGAACGGTCACTGGGAGCCAACGGGGCTGGGCCTCAGCCCTTTATATATTCAAGATCGCCAGGAAGTCACTTTACAGCTCTCTTTTCTCCAGGCCAAATGGACCCATAAACATTTCCTCTCCAGGGTCCTACTTTCCCACTCTGTTAAATCTTCGCAGCCTTCTCTGCAGAGTTTCTGTGCCCTTCCAGGGATGAGCACAGGCCCACGGAGTTTCTGGCTGATTTGGAATAGGAGAGATTTCTCAGTCAGTTCTCTGAGTTGCTTCTTTTCTTTTCTTTTCGGGGCATTTTGGTTTGTCCTTCATACCTGTCAATTGTACCTGATAGTTTATTTCTGCCACTTGGAGAGTTCCTCCAAGCTTTGCCTAAAGCTTTGTGACTCTGGGAGAGCAGAAAATTGGGACAAAGGAAACAGGTAACACATTGATATGTAAAGCTTTGTTTATGAAACAGAAAAGCAGAGCAGCCTGCTTGCTCACTGGAGGCTTTTGTTCGCAATCTCAGCAATCAAAGCGGGAACAAGCACTGCAAATGAGAGGCTGCATAGGCACGATGAGTGTGTGTGTGTGTGTGTGTGTGTGTGTGTGTAAACGCAAGTGACAACAGAGGCCTTGCAGCAGGGGGGCCAAATTCAGCCTCAGACTGTGGTTTCTTTCATGTTTCTTTCCTCGCAGTTGGAGGCCAGGCAAGCGATCGATCGATAAAGAGTTGCTAAGCGCGATTGGCAAATTTCCCTGGGACATTGTAGAGATATTGCTGCTTTTGAAGAGTTTAAAGCAGTTAGGGAGAACAAACCAACTCACTGGCATTCAGAAACTTAATAGGAAACTGTAACCTCAAATGACTTCCAGGACCCAGGAGTGATAGAAGAGCAGAGAAGACCACAGGTCGGCAGCGTGGCTGGGCTGGCCAGGACAGTCACCCGGGGTGGGGCAGGAAGCCCTTGGTCTGGAGTGACAGACCGTAGACAGAGACAGGCAGAGTCTGGATGCCCAGCAGGCGGCAGTTCAGTTGCTGTGCACCACCTAGCAGGGAGGTCGGTTACCGTCGCATTTGGGGTAAATGGCAACGCAGCAAAGGGGCCGAAAGCCTGAGCACAGGAGTGGACGTGGCCTGGGAAGTGACGGTGCCACGCAGTCCTGTGGTTGCTGGAGCGATTATCCCAAGGAACAGTGGCGGAGGCTTCCAGCATTCCTCTGATAAGAGTTGAGTGTGCGTGTGTGTGTGTGTGTGTGTGTGTACATGCACTCGTGTGTGTACATGGGGATTCAGCAGGGCCCCATTCCCAGTGCTGTGTGCTCACAGACCTGCGCACACGCGCGCACACACACACACACACATTCTCTCACACTCTCCCTTCTCCCATGAGCCAGAGTAGAAAGCCCGGATTGGAACTGCAGGTGCTTCTGGGGCCAGCCCTGAAGACACAGGACTGAGAATCACCATAGTTTTATAAACGCACAGAAATCCTTATAGGGAAGATTACTCTACCTTCTTTGAAAGGAGGGTTGGAGAGATGGGGCTGGGGTGAGGGAATGAGAAAAAGAACAGGGTGAAGTATAAGCAAGTAGATAAGAGAGAAAAAAGACGAGGAAGAAGCTCAGTGTCCCAGTTTGGGAAGAATTTGAGCTGTGGATACGGATGTCTGAATCTCCCCCAGTAGAAAGTGTTTCTGTGAGTCCTTGTACCTGCCGCTGTCACCGCTCTAGAACCCCAGGCTGGTGTCTTCACAGCCTTGACTTGCCACCTTTAGACAAGAAGCAACAGAGAGTAAGGACGTGTCCACGTGGCCTCATTGTTCACCCTCAACAAATGTTTGGTGAATGAACTAACCAGTTCTATCCAGAACTTTGTCATTCCCAGGACAGACTGTTCCCGTGAGACCAGCACCACCGTGCTCCTCTCTGCCCTGCGTGGCCTCCAGATCACTGTCCCGCCCAGGTCAGGCTGAGCCTTCTGGAGACCCAGCACTCACCATACACATCTCCCTTCCCTTTTCCCCAAAGTCTGGTTACTTGGTTTTTTTGTTTGCTTGTTTGTTTGTTTTTGAGACAGAGTCTCACTTTATCACTCTTGGTAGAGTGCTGTGGCATCATAGCTCACAGCAATCTCAAACTCTTGGGCTCACATGATTCTCCTGCCTCAGCCTCCTGAGTAGCTGGGACTACAGGTACCCGCCTCAACGCCCAGCTATTTTTAGAGACAGGGTCTCATTCTTTCTCAGGCTGGTCTCGAATTTGTGAACTCAGACAATCCACCCACTTCAGCCTCCCAGAGTGCTAGGAATATAGATGTGAGCCACTGCGCGCTGCCTTTTTTTAAATATAATTCTGTAACTTAGTATTTTATTCTTTTGACGAAAGTCCAGTCGATTCTGCAGATGTTCGTGGGAGAGGGAAGGCATTGTGGCACAGCTAACACTCACACATCAGTCTAAAGCAGCATTTTCAACCTTTATCTCACGGCACACTGGAGCCTGTAGTTATGGCACCCTTAAATTATGTTGATACAAAAAAAGAAGAGTAAAAATAATATATATACTTACCATGCTTTGAAGTTCTTTTCAAAACAATTTAATTAATGATGTTTAAAGTTTTTCGCAGCACACCTACGATCCTCTCCCAGGAACCAGTTGAACAATCACTGGTGTAAAGGCAGCTGTAGGGTCATTCCCTAAAAACTGGACGCTGTGTCTGGAGGGAGAGTGAGAATCCTGTTTACCTGCGTAGCAAGAGATGGGAACAGGAAAGACAGACCGGGAATCCAGGGGAGCAAAGACACCTGCCCCTGCTGCTCAGCTGCGGCTCGGGGTTCCCATCCAGTGATGTCCATTCTCAGCCCAAGCATTTTGCCCTGTCGTCCTCTGGGCCTCTGGCTCTTTTTATGGTAGTGCCTGGGACGCCGAGGATGTCTTTGTCTCTACTTTGTCAACTCAGCAACAGAGCAGCTGCGTTCGGGGCGCTGCCAGGCTGTTTCTCTGTGTGTGCTCATTTGCCGAGCAGGTGTGTTCTCCCCAGATGCACCTTCGAAGGCGATAGTGTCATCAGTCAGCAGTGCCCAGGAACCGGAGGGAAGGGGGGGAAGGCTAACTGGTTTCAAGCCAGAGTCCCCTTGCTGTGTCTGATACCCCGGCGTGATGCATCTGTGCCCGCTCTCTGCTCCGGGCATCCTTATTCCCTCCCCGGAACTTAATAGAGGAGAGGGAGGGAGGACGAGAGCTGAAGGAGAACCAGAGTTTCCCCCTCTCTGCCCCCTAAGACACAGCAGACACGACAACTCTCATGCTGGCGTTGCCCACCACGCGCGTGGTTCTGGGTGGTCACAGAGGTAGCCTGCATGTGTGTCACTCCCCCCATCGGGGAGGTTGTGAAGTTGGAACTGAGATTTAAATCACACGCTCCCTCTCAGCGCCCGCCCCCCTGGTGTTCTGGCGATTAAGTGTGTTTGATAAACCTCTGACTTCTTGGATACTGTTCTTTCTGCTGGTTTTTCCCCTCGGGACTTATTTTTTTATGTTGGTATCTCCTTATTACTGAACCGGTTCTGCGGATTTCCTTGTTCACCGTCTGATTTGGTAGCACCTTACTTGATCGTCCACTAACTTTGTTAAAAATAAATGAACTTGACGTGTGTGGTTAGTGTTGCACATTTGATAACATAAATACCGTGTCAGGGCGTGGTGAGTATACCGTCGGTGCCGTGCAGTTACAGGGTGCATAGATGATGGGTTTATTTTGTCCTCTAAGCCCAACACAGAGTGACAGCAATTACTTTTGGACCCATTAAGTGCACTTACCTCATAATCTGTAGGGAGATTAATTGTGTAGTTACCACCCACCCCCTTCTATTTCTGCAGACTTGTCCAAGATTACACCTCGTTTGAGGATTACGTTGTCTTGGATAAATCTCCTATGCTGAATTCCAGTAACCATTGTGAGTCTGCTTCCAGGATAAACCACACCCAAGGCACAGCTAGAAAAAGGATTGAAGAGCAGCTAGCACTCCTGTTGGGGATGGGGCGACACCCACCTTCTGAATCCAAACTAACGCTCTTATTTTTGCTTTGCTCATGCATTCAATAGGATGGAGTAGGAGAGGTATGGGAGAAACAGCATGTGCCCCAGATACCCGTCCTCCTCCACGATGAAGTACTAGTGTGAAGTGTTTACTCGGTGTCAGAAACATTCTCCATGGACAGGGCAGCCCCTGGGCCTTGAGACCCTCGTATCTCACAGTACGGATTTGCTCATGCTGACAGTGTGCCTCCCACGGATGTTGTCAGTCTTCTCTACATCTGAATGATTTGTGCCAAAGCTAAAATTCACATCTGTGAACTCTGGTTTTTTTCTCTCTTGGCTCATACAGACCGCGTAGCTGCTGTCTGGGAATGCATGCGGCCCGGGAGATACGTTACGGAATAGTTCACCCATAGTTTGTCATTGTGTGTGGGTCTGTGCTCCCTCCAGTAGACGTAAATGTAAAAAGTAGGTGATTGTGACTTTGTAGGTGATTATGACTTCCTAAAACGAATGAAGGAGTGGTCTGCTCTTACTAAAAGAATGTGATTATCTTGGCACCCCTGATCCTCTTGTTGGAGAGTCTGTTCCATGTTCAGCTACCTTAATGCAGCAGCTAAGATACTTGACCAGCATCCCTGATTTATTACAAGGCATTTTAGAAGCACAGTTATTGTGGCTAGGTACACATGTCATCTTCTCAGAGTGGCAGTTCCAAAAGCCCAGCAGCATTCCATCTGCGTCCCGGGTGGTTCTTTGGCTTTGGGCCTGGGTTGGTCATTTGGGGCTTTCCTGTGTCTTTCAGGCATTGAGAACGCCAGCGACATCGCTCTGTACTCCGGCCTGGGCGCTGCAGTGGTGGCTGTGGCGGTCCTGGTCATTGGCATCGCCCTTTATAGACGGAGCCAGAGTGACTACGGCGTGGACGTCATTGACTCGGCCGCGTTGTCAGGTGGCTTCCAGACCTTCAACTTCAAAACAGTCCGTCAAGGTCAGAGGCGCAGGTGCCCCAACACCTCGTCCTCAGGGCCGCAGACTACACTCGCACAGAAGCCCTGTGTTCCCCAGGGCCACGTGCGAGGGTACATGGTGGCCCTGGGACCCGCTGCCAAATTGTCTTCATTCACACGTTCAGAGGACAGGCTCTGTGAAGTGACCTGTTTGGGTGTCCCTCCAATGTGGCCATATTGCTCAGTACATGTGACTTAAGTAGAAATAAATCCAAATGAAGTGAGGACAAATGGATCTCAATTTATCGTTAGCACCATTTTAAATGAGAAGTTTCCATCTTTGACATATAGTGAGTTTAATGAGTTATCTTAGCTCAAATTATCCAACTTTCTATTTTAAAAAGTCCACTTCGAGGATGCAGATTTAATTCCGTTAAATTCTGATTATTCAAGGCCGAGGACCAGCTCTTACACCACAGTCCCCCAGGTACATTCATCACACTGTTTGTGAGGTAGAGTTATTTTTGTTATTTAAGTTTGGAGGATGCGTGATAGGTCAGCGGGGCAGGGGGATGAAATTCAGCCTAAACAACTCTGAGCTGTAGCCAGGTCCAAGTACTCTTCTGTTGTGGGGAAAGGAGGATCTCTATGTTAGGGCCTATGATGATACGTCCTTTCAGAGCAGAGGCCTTTAATTCTCTTATGCTAATGAAATCTATTCCTGATTGTGAGGTGAGGGCAAAACACACACAGCTTTCATTTTAGACAAAAAAAGAAACTGGCTCCTTTCAGAGGGTGGCCCTTTCTACCTCCACCCTGGCATCAATATTGTCACCTTTAACCCTGGCATCAATATTGTCACCTTTGTTCTGTTCACTGCGCATCAGTGATGCCTGCGGTGTGGAACAGGAAGTCTCAGTGTCTGGCAGTGATTGAGAAGTAGGGTTCTTGGCTTGGGAAGTGGGGACCAAGCATGCCAGGAAGAGAAACTGAGACCAGCCGGAGAGGCAGGAGCACTTTGCCTCTGGGCCCCTCTGTGTTGGGCTTCAGGTAAAGACGCCTCCCCCTGATGTGGCCGTATTGCTCAGTACACGTGACTTAAGTAGAAATAAATCCAAATGAGGTACTGGTGGTTATGCTACCTAAAGAAACTAGAAATACACTCCTGTCAAGGAATAAGATATCAATATTTTAGACCATAACACTTGGAAATAGAGGAAATGTTTTCATGTGAGGGACAGTTTCATGTCTAAGTCCACAGGCTTTGAAGTCAGTGAGATTTGAGTCTAAATCCACCATACGGCCTAATCGATCAATTCTGAGTCTCAACTTTTACAGCTCTAAAATAGGGATTTTAGAGTGTTTGTGGGAACAGAAATTATCTGGGATAGCATGGGTAAGGCCTGGGTGTGTATAAAATGCTTATAAATGTAGTGAATATGTTTCTAAAAGGTTCTAGAAGCTGGTTGTTTCCAAAAACAGGACATCAGCATGTTCCATGGAGCCCAGACAGCAGGCAGGAGGGGCGGTTTCCTGGTCTGAATGTGCGCGGGGAGCGCTGACTTTCCTAAGTGTTGTTACTGAGGCATTTCTCAAACTTACCTGTATTGTGAATTTCTAAGAGATTATGCCGTCTTGCTGAACTTATTTGACCATTGCACTTTTTATTCTTGGCCAAGAATCTCACAAACAAGTGACAAAAGGAAACCCCTTGGGTAAAGCTTTTCTTCCTGTAGTCATTGCCACCGTCTGCCTTACTCTGGTGGCCATGTGTCTCCCCCACCCCCCACTTTCCTATAACCATTTCCTGAGCACAGCCTGCAGGGTTCTAGGAAGGTAAACAGTGAAACTTCTGAAGAATGTCATAGTGACAATAGAGCAGGGACCTGGAGAAGGATTTCCAAGAAGAAGAGTATGCCAGCCGGGGTAGGCTGACCAGCCCTGGTTAGACTTTAATCACACTGGCGGCCAATTTTATCCCAGCTGAGGACTGTATCATATGTACATCTGTAATCAGGCACTGTCCACTCACGTGCTATCTAGGAGTGTCTTTGAAGAATATAAATTTCAGAAGGTGAGGGCTGGAGATAAAATAGCCAGGTGACTTTAAGGATGTGACTTCTGAGGGTCTCCATGCAGGCCCTGTTCCAAACTCTTTTCAGATGGGAGATAGTTCGTCCAGTACCACTTCTTGTCTGGAAAGACCATAAACAAAAGCAGACTTGTCACCTGTATAACTCAGGGAAGTTCTGTTAAAAAACACAGCTCCCTGATGGTGTCTGGGCACAACAGCCCCAGGCATGAACAAAATGCGCCATCCTTGGGCCGCCATCAGCGAGCCCTTGAGTCCATGGTGTTATTTCATCTCATCTGTGTTTTCTCCTGTGAATCTGGATTCTTAGAGCATCTCAACAGAGAGGGGAAGAGTCAGAGATTATAGATTTCCTGCTGGCGTTGCTACAAATTATGAAAATGGAAAAACAATAGAGGCTAATACAATGTGGCCCAGAACTGCAACATTTTCAGAAATATCAGACTTTAAACATTTTTTGTCAGGCCCCAAAGGAAAATTATTGAATATAGTTTGGGTTTTCAATTGGAGATGTCACATTGACAGACTGATATGAGTGGGAGGCTTGCGACTGAGGGTTATTTTGTTATTTACTAATAAATGAGATTACTTCATCATGAGAAAAATATCACTGCGTTTCCTTTTTAATATTTGGCTTGGAAAAAATTGGTGAGGCCCAACAGATGACAAAGCCCCATTTCTCATGTTTCTGTAAACACAGTTTTTTTTCCTTTGTTTTAGAAAGGAAACCGTTGGCTGTGCTCCCCACGTGGGCGCTGCGTCCTGTTCTGTCCCCGCGCGGACACTGTGTCCTGGGCTGTCCCCGTGTAGACGCTGCATCCTGAGCTGTCCCCGTGTGGATGCTGCGTCCTGGGCTGTCCCCACGGGGTGTGTTCTTTCCCTCCCAGAGTGACACAGGCATTATTAGAGCAAATTGGCCACTCGAATGTGGTGCGAGTCACGAGGGCCACTGACCCTTTTGCTCTGGGTACACGTTATTTCCTCCCCCAGCTCTAGAAACTGCCCAGAATCCCACATGTAGTGTGCTGGAACCGAAGCGGCTTCGGTCATAAACAGCACTGCCTCGTCACCACGCTGTGTCATCTCTTGCCATTTAAAAGGAACAGATGTTATTTTTGCTCCAAACTGGATTACAAAACATCTTTTGATTTTTTTTTTTAAGCTTCTCTTTGCCAGTTAAAATAATGACATAAACAATCATATCTGAGTTAGTTACCTGACGGAATGCCAGAAATGCTTGTTTTGAAAAGGGACTGTGGAACAATCTCTGGAAGGTGAAGGATTTGGGTCAGTGGCATTCAGAGAATGCACTGTGGAAGCCAGAGCTTCTGACTCAGAGCCCCGGGTCACTCACACCCACCCTGGCAGGGTCTGCCCGAGGGGCCAGCTCAGCTTGGAGCAGCTGGCCTCCAGGCAGGCTGGCACACAGTTAGTGGGGCGCGTGCAAAGGGGCAGCCTAGGTGCCTTGTAGCTTCTGAGTGACAGATCAATTTTCTTTTACCAGGTAACTCCCTGCTCCTGAATTCCTCCATGCAACCAGACCTCACGGTGAGCCGAACGTACAGCGGACCCATCTGCCTGCAGGACCCTCTGGACAAGGAGCTCATGACTGAGTCCTCACTCTTTAACCCTTTGTCAGACATCAAGGTCAAAGTGCAGAGCTCGTTCATGGTTTCCCTGGGAGTGTCTGAAAGAGCGGACTACCATGGCAAGAACCACTCCGGGACTTTTCCTCATGGAAACAACCGAAGCTTTGGTACAATGCATCCCAGAAACCAAACACCCTACATCCAGAATCTGTCCTCACTCCCCGCACGGACTGAACTGAGGACCACTGGGGTCTTTGGCCATTTAGGGGGACGCTTAGTAATGCCAAATACAGGTGGGTGATAGGTGCGTGTGTGTGTGTGTGTGTGTGTGTGTGTGTGTGTTTCCCGGCATTCGCACAGGCATTTTGTACTTAATGCAGTTGTTGCCCTCCCATCTGTCTCATGTGGTTGTCTGTCCCCTCATCAGAACTGCAGACACCGTAGTTCCACCAGGCCACTTCATTTACGCAGCAAAACTAGAACCAATGCTGAGGTTAGGTTTGGCAGCCTATATCTCTACAAGGGTCGAATTCTCTGTGTGATGCCCTGTGAGGGTTGACCACCATATTTGCTCAAAAGGTTGAGGTACCCTTTGAAACATATTTGCTAGAACATGATGAGGAAGCACCAAAAACATTCTCTGCCATGACGCACACGTGTCATGTGTGCCTCCAAGCACAGTTTATTCATCAGTAGATAATCGCGTGAAGTGACCCTCCATGTCTAAGTTCATCGGGAACTGCCCTTGCACGCACTCTGAGTGTCCAGATCCTGCCATAACATCCCTGAGCAGTGATGAGGGCCACTGTGGAGATGCCCTTTCAAATTCAGCTCCAGGGCTATGCCATCTGTGTAATGAGTTCTCACGTATTTTTCTTCCCTCTTTTTAGTTGGAAGAGAGATTTTCTTGATGTGTTGACAGAACACTTCAGGCATCCGGCCCTGATCACATTTAAAATGATATCCCATCTATGGATTACTCGGCAGCGTTGCCACCCGAGACCTGAGTGATGGCAGATGAGGTCAATTTCTCCTCTGACTTCTAAGCAACAAGACTCAGGTGGTGTGCGGGGTCAGGCCGCGCAGTGCTGTCTGTGAGAGGGAAAGGAGTCGACGGGATCCGCCAGTGTCTTTAGACCACAGGTCACCATTGCGTCAGGGCCATCAGAGCCTTGACGGATTTCTCTCGGGGGTGACACTAACCAATCTCTCAAATCAAACATTTTATCTCATAAAATGAAATCTGTAATAGGACTAGTCTGATAACAACTCTTCCAGCAAAATAACCCCTCTAGCAGCTTAGTGACTTGACACTGAAATTCGTTTCAGGTTGACAAATGGTGTCTTGTTCTCTCCCGGAGCAATCGCCTCCTTTAAAAACTTCATTTCCCAGTGTATTTTATGTCCTAAAAGCAGCCCTCAACAGCGGCCCTAATTGGAAGGCTTTGTTCTGTAAACCTTCCAGCTCTCTCAGCCTTCCTTGGTCAGCGCATCAGCAGGGTGAGGGTCGGGGCTCAGATCTGTGTGGGTGATGGTGGACGAGCGTCCGTGTGTGATGTGAGTCTTCCTGTTGATAATTGGCAGATAAGAGACTCAATGAGGAATGAATCAGTCAGCCATAGATACCAATTACCCTTCCTGAGAGAAGCCATAAATTATTAATAGAAGTGTGTGTCCCCAGGAAGGAAAAGAGACACAACCGTTGCCCTCTCTGGGTCAGACACATCAGAATCATGGACAGTGGCAGGTTGGGTTTCTGTCCAGCTCCCGCCTGGCCCTCAGCAGCCTCTCAGGAGTTATTTGTTGGCGACATTGGCCGGTACTCCCCTCCCTCTTCCCGTCCTCCTTTGCCAGTTTGTGTCTGTGTGTGTGTACACGCATCTACACACACGTGGAGGGGGTGCCGAGACAATCCCATTTCTCGGCTGTGTGTGTTTGATGTTCGTCAAGGAAAGTGAGGAGATGAAACCTTGGGGGATTAGAGATTTTTCTTCTCCCTCCCCTCCGACTTGAGGAGCTCTCCTATTGGAAACTCCGAGTTCTGATAGTGATGTCCGTGCTTCCTGGACAGTTTCCCTGGGAAAGGGGCGTTTTCAAAGCTCCTGACTAGGAGTGCTGGACACGACTGGAGCTGTTCACTGAGAATGAATTCTAGAGAAAAATAAGTGTGGTGAATTGAAATATATGTCCTGTGATTTGCAGGAAATAAATGCAAAATCTGCCCTAGGAGGAAAGAAAGCAAGGCATAGAAATTAGGTTGTTCTAATGCCGTCCATCCCAAATTGTTGTGGGGGCCTGGCAATGATTTCTCCAAAAGGTTGGGGTGCTCTCCACATACGAGCCATCATTTATTTTTCCAATTATGAAACAGGGACCTCAGAAAGGTGGTCCTATTGTCCTTTGAAATAAAAGGCCGTTGGGGTTGCAGGCGGAGTTTGGGACCAGTCTGTTTTTCCTTAATCAGAAACAGCCAGTGGATGACATACTGAAATGGGTACTTTTCTCAGGGACATGGGCACAGCTGGCATCTCCTTCTTCATGATCTAACTAACTTGCTACCCCCGTCTGCCTCTGGATTTCACTATCTCCAGCCCCCGCGTAGAATTTGCATGTTTGGGCTGGAGAACAGATAAGTGCATTGGAAAGATAACGCAGTCTCTGATTGAGAAGATAAAGGTCCAGTGACCTTGTTGGTTCAGGTTGAATCTAGGAATATTATGAAGAATGTTTCAGTCTAACCGTGGGGAAGGAGCTGACGTGAAGGGAGCGTGCTGTGGTCTCTGCTCCACAGACGGCCCTGCTCAAACGTCCTCACACGCATTTCTTCTATTTCAATCTGGGAGTCGATTATCAGGCCGTGATAATCTACAGAAGATACCATGTGTCAGAGCCTGGCTTCTTTTATTATTTTACCAAGACTTTTGAATTCTACTCTTTGGTTCCCATATTCAAGATATGTGTATTGGGGACCCACGCCAGCCAGCACTGCTCTAAGTGCTGTGGCTGTGATAGGACGTTATTGCTTGGGGACAGTCCCCAGTGCTTCTCCGTTTGGAGAATAGAGACTGCATGTCTTTGATGTCACAGTGACCTACAGAGCCTGAACAAGGGGCGGCAGAGAGAAAGTTCCGTGTTAAGCTAAGAAGAGACAGAATGTCTGGGGCAGGCATCCTTGTGGATGTCCAGACACGCGGAGCCGCCATGCAGGGCAGCTTGTGTTCATCAGCAGGGAGGGATATAATAGAGGCTGCTTCATTTGACAACTACATTTAAGGAAGAATAGAAAATGGAAGGAGGAGCCTGATTGTCGATCCCTAAGTATGGCAATTACAGTTCTCCTATTAATGACATTAAGGTCCAGAGTATAAACGGATCTCCTTGCTGAAGAGCTGTAAGTGAGTTGAAAATGTGCCTTATTCTTAGTGCCGGTGAAAGGTACTGCTGGTAACTGGCATGTTACTGAATACTCATAAATGCGAATCACAAATCACTTGTTTTGCAATGAGTCTTGCGTTCCTTGACTCGAGAGCTGCTAACAGGCACACAGAGGAATGTCAGTAAAGCCAGCCAATCTCCAGGATTAAATTATCATCAGAACCTGAAAGCTTCCTGAGCGATTACATTAGCCCTAATGAAAGGAAAACAAGGTGAGAGCTGCATTATTCAAAGAATAGGAAGATGCCTTGAGATTTTATTTTGTGAAGATCTCACTGCTTCTCTATTTCATTTATTTTTATAAATAAGAAGCTACGTTAAAGAGAGTCTCTGGCCTCCCCCAGACTCTTCTCTCCTGGACAAAGCGAAATGTTTTCTTCACAGCATTCAAGAGGACAGAGGAGAAGTTTAAAATGCAGTGTGCAGTGGCTTTCAGTGCCAGCCACAGTGTGTGGATGTGGATGACGTAAAGGGGTGGGTTCCTTCAGCTCGGTGTGGGCGTAGAGATGGTTAAGTAGCCTTTAACCTTAACCGGTCCTGGCTTCTGTTTGCAAATTAAAGGCCATATCGGTTACATACTAACCTGAACATGTTCTGAGCATATCAGATGCTTTTATACTTTCTCAAGTTTTCTTAACAAAATATAGCACTCCTTTGAAGGCAGCCCTCAACTTCCCTCCAAATGTGCAATTTGGAAGACTGTTTCATACCAGTTTCTAGCAATGTATTAGATCACTCACCCACCACCAGCCCAGGTATCTGTTCAGGAAACCAACGGAGTAAGAGGCAAGATAGAGACCTTGGCAGCACATTCACTGATGTGTTGATAAACTCTTACGTTCTCATATGTGTTGTGTTTAATACAACCTGATCTTAGAACACCCGATCTTTTTTTTTTTTTTTTTTTGGAGATAGATTCTCACTATGTTGTCCTGGGTAGAGTGCCGTGGGGTCACAGGCAACCTCAAACTCCTGGGCTTAAGGATGAAATCTGCCAACCTTGGTGTATGTGGCCAGCGCCTTAACCACTGTGCTATACAGATGCTGAGCCAGAACACCCAATCTTTTAAGAGAATTAAATAATGCTGAGAAGCCTTAAAATTTAAAAGGAAAAAACGTGGTTTTGAGTACTCATTTGAACAATATACTGTTTGTTATGTCACTGTTATAAAGCAGTGTTTTTCTGCTCATGATCTGTGACTTCTTAAACTTTCTAGGAATTGGGATTTCCAAATTGTTACAAGAAAGTCCTTTTCTGTGGGCATATTTGAGGTGCCCGAGTGAGGTACTTCACATTAACTGGAAAAATCTCTTGAATAACCCTTGGGTTTTTCTGTTTCAGGGGTGAGTTTACTCATACCACACGGTGCCATTCCAGAGGAGAATTCCTGGGAGATTTACATGTCCATAAACCAAGGTGAACCCAGGTAAGAGAGAAGAATGGTGTATTCGTGACAGCTGTACCCAGGGGATGGAAGTGCTATAGAAAATCAGCAGTTGTTAAGATAATGAGGCCTGAAGGTATGGAGGTGGGATAGTGAGTGCTTGACCCTTTAGAGGGAAAAAAAGCTGCAAAAAACCATTGTCTGGAAGGAAAATACTTATTACTCCACACTGTGTGGTCGCCAGCTTCTTAACAGGGAACACTAGATGGAAAGCAGTGAACTGGTCAGCAGGTCACAGCTGGCTTCCTAGTAACACTGGCGGCTCCCAGTGTCTTCCTTGCGAAAGCAAGGAAAACATTATCCCGTGAGGTCCTCTTTGGTGCTGGGTATTAGGCACATGCACACTGTGGGTGGCTCATGATCCTTTTAATGTCAGCAGAAGACGTGTGTGTATAGGCTGAAAGGCAATTTCTTAGGCAGTTTCCCTGGATGTAAAAATACGATCTAAAGTTCAATAGCTTTGAGATGACAAATTCCAACAGCATTAAATTCAATTACGTGAACAAATACAAATCTTGTCACATACTCTTTTAGTGAAAGTAGTTGGTTATTTTCTTAGCACCACTATGATATTTGTGGAAATGTAGCCTTCCTGCACCCAAGATAAACCCAACTCCTCTTTAGAAAGCGATTTCTCTCATGAACGGCATATATACCTCTGGCATTTTTAGTCATAACATCCTGGTTATTTTAGAAGAGATTTTTCTTGTTGTTGTTAGCCAAGAACATGTGAAAGAAAAACACTGGAAGGAAAAACAGCCAGAGAAACAGATGGTTGAAACAGATTTTGGTATCTATCTCTGTGCAAGGATTTGTTGGTGCCCAGTGGTGGACGGGGCTTGGGAAGGAAGGAAGAAGCTGTGCCAGGCGGTTATTGGTGAGGCTCTCAGAGCACCTGTCTGCAGGCTGCGCTACGTTGGGTCACGTATTATTTCTGCTAGAGTCTTTAACTCCACGCCTGCAAAGGTGCCAGTGTTCAAATACCTCTACTTGGCAGGGGAAACTGAGGCTCAGGAAGGTTTGAAGAGTTTACTCAAAATCTTAAGTCAGTCAAAGCAAACCTAGATACAGGGTTCCCTGGTTAGAAGTTACCTCTTTGTTATACCCTTGGTTGATTTACTTAAGAATCAACCAGGGTGGGTGAGGCGGCTCACACCTGCACTCCTAGCCCTCTGGAAAGCCAAGGTGGGTGGATTTCTTGAGCTCAGGAGTTTGAGACCAGCCTGAGCAAAAGCAAGACCCTGTCTCTATTAAAAATAGAAAAACTAGTCAGGCATCATGGCGGGCACCTATAGTCCCAGCTACCTGAGAGGCAGAGGCAAGTGGATTGTCACTCTATCCAGTGTAATAGGGTAAGACTCTGTCTCAAAAAAAAAAAAAAAAAAAAAAAGACGAATAAGAAGAATGAATCAGTGTTTAACATAGAGGTCATGGTCATTTTCACAGATGCTTTAGAATACATCACACTGCAAACATCAGTCTGATGCAGAACCTAGTCCCAAATCAGGGCCTGCTGCACACCCTTCCTGGGCCTCTCCTCCCCCACTCTCCCCAAGGTTGTTGTCAATCCAGGGATCATAGGTTTACCGCCTTCCTTTCAAACCCCTCTTCCGGTGTCTTCTCACAACATGAGAACCAACTAGAGTAACTTCATGCTTTCTAAGGCACCCCGTTTCTTGATACTACCTACCTCAATCCTTGTCTTTTACAAGAAGCTGCCTCTTCTTAAGAGATCAGAGCTAGATAAGCATGACACATACAAAGACTTAAGTAAAAATGGCTCAAAAGTATCAGAAAGGAACGACATCCTGCGGTTTAAAGTAAGCAGGAGAGGCTCAGTGCCTGTAGCTCAGCAGCTAGGGCGCCAGCCACATATACCAGAGCTGGTATGTTGGATCCCAGCCCGGGCCTGCCAAACAACAATGACAACTACAACCAAAAAATAGCCGAGCATTGTGGTGGGCCCCTGTAGTCCCAGCTACTTGGGAGGCTGAGGCACAAGAATCACTTAAGCCCAAGAGTTTGAAGTTGCCGTGAGCTGTGACACCATGGTACTCTACCAAAGGCGACATACTGAGACTCTGTCTCAAAATAAAATAAAATAAAATAATATATATATACACACACATACATATATATATATATATATGATAAATAAAATAAAAATAGCCAGATGTTGTAGATGGTGCCTATAGTACCTGAGGCAAAGGGATGATCACTTGAACCCAAGTGAGTTTGAGGTTGCTGTGAGCTATGACACCACAGCACTCTACCAAGGGCAACAAAGTGAGACTCAGTCTCTAAATAAATAAGTAAATAAATTAAGTAGGCGGGAAATATACCTAAGAACTTGCCGGAGCCTGAAAACTTAAGAAAACAGGCTGGCCTCGTGTGGTCACACCTATGCTGACCATGACCTTGCTGTCCTTTAGCTTGGCAAGGTCCATGTTGACCAACCGGGGTTTTCCTTGTTGGTGTCCAGGGTATCATTTCACAGCTGCTGTGTAGGGTGGATAGACACAGACCAGTTTACCCCAAACTCCAGTTCCATAAGGTGCATGTTCTTCTGGCTGTTCAGCTGTACAGAGGACGCACCCTTCACAGATGGCTGAGACCTTCCCAGATGTCCCCATCTCCTGAGGAAATGATCAGTCCGTGGACTACAGGCCATTTAGCTCCCTTCACAATCCTCAGCCCCAAACTACTTACAAAAACACTGAAAATAACAAATACCTCTCTGTTACTTTTTTAAAGCTGGGTGAAACCTCTCCCATCTCTGCCAGAAAGCTGGTTGGGTCTGAATTCTTTAACTTTTTCGTTTCTGGATGAACAGGCCATCATGTCGCCTCTTCATCATAATATCGCTTGAAAACCCATTTTCATGGTATGTCGTGCTTCTGTCATCCTGAGCTTGTACTGAGAATAAGGCCCGTCTTCCTCAAAGTAAAGCTGGGCCTTGCGCCTCTCTGTGGCTTTCATTCCTGGCTCCAGCCACCACAGGCCTCTCCCTTTTCTGTCATCCGTCTGAGGATCGGATTTTACTGACTTGGTCACCTCCACGTACGCAGAACACAGAACAATCTTCCAAACAGCACCTTTATGCTGTACTCAAGGTCCACTCCATTTCATGATTGATGACACATTTCTATTGCCCCTTCCTACGTTACATCCCTGAGGTGGCAGGGTGGTGGTTTAGCGATACAGAAAGTGACATGATTAATCCAAATTCTGACCAGATTTGTAAGGCACATGGCTGTTTGGAATAAATCAAAACATAAACTAACCTCTTGTGTTGAAATAATCTTAGATGGTTCTATTTTGATTTTTTCTTTTTGAGACAGAGTCTCACTCACCCTAGGTAGAATATCATGGCATAGCAGCTCACAGCACTCTCAAACTCTTGGACTCAAGTGATCCTCTTGCCTCAGCCTCCCAAGTAGCTGGGACTACACGTATCTGCCACAATGCCCGGCGGTTTTTAGAGACAGGGTCTCACTCTGGCTCCGGCTGGTCTCAAACTCCTAAGCTCAGGTGATCTACCCACCTCAGCCTCCCAGAGTGCTAAGATTACAGCATATTTTGATATTTTGGTGAGTTATAAGTGAGGTTGTCATTGTCTGAATTGAACATACCCTGTCTCTCTTGGGACACCCTACCTGTGTCCCTGGTAACCCCCCACAAGGACACTTTGGAATTTCTGTGAAGAAGAATGATGTCATCTTCTTTTTTTTTTTTTTAATTTCAGACTAAATTAGGATATAGACAACTAGGTTACAATGTTTGCGTTTGTTAGGTAGAGTCCCTCTTATAGTTGTGTCCTGCACCCAAAAGGTGTGCCATACGCCCTACATTATGCCCATTAAGTGGGAACAGACCCATCGCCCTCCCCTATCCCTGCTCCTCCTTCCCTTGATCCTCCTCCCCTGAATTTGAATTGAGTTTTTCTCTTATGTGGCTAAGTATTAGCTCATCTACTGGCTTCATATTAGTAGTGAGTACTCTGGATACTTGCTTTTCCATTCTTGCAATACTTTATTAAGAAGCATGCATTTCAACTGCATCTAGATAATATAAAAGATGTACAGTCTCCATCTTTTTATGGTTCACTAGTATTCCATGGTATACATACACTGTAGTTTGTTAATCCATTCTTGGGTTGATGGACATTAAGGTGGTTTCCACATTTTGGCAATTATAAATTGAGCTGCGATAAACATTCTAGTGAAAATGTCCTTGTGGTATGATGATTTTTTTCCTTCTGAGTAGATGCCTAGTAACGAGATTGCAGGATCAAATGAAGCATCTAATTTGAGTTGTTTGAGAATTCTCCATAATTCTTTCCTAAGAGGCTATACCATTTGCAGTCCCACCGGTACTGTAAGTGTTCCCTTTTCTGCACAACCACTCCAGCACCTGCAGCTCTGGGACTTTGTGATATGGGCTAGTTTCACTGGGGTTAGCTGAAATCTCAGGGTGGTTTCAATTTGCAATTCTCTGATAATTAGGGATGAGAAGTATTTTTTCATGTTTGTTAACCATTCATCTCTTTTTCTTAGAGAAGATTTTAGTCATGTCCCTTGCCCAGTGATAAGGAATGACATCACTTCCCCCTATCATCTCTAGTCTGTTAACATTTTTTTTTATTTCCCCCCTCCCTCTGTCCCTCTCTCTGCTCTTCCCCTCTCCCACTTCCCTCCCTTCTTCCCTCTCTCTCTCCTTCCCTCACCCCCCACTGTGTACAGTCATCAACTGTCCTCATATGAGAATTGAGTACATAGGATTCTTGCTTCTCCAAAAAATAATGTGTTCTACTTCCATCCAGGTTAATACAAAGGATGTAAAGTCTCCATCTTTTTTAATGGCTGAATAGTATTCCATGGTATACATATACCACAGTTTGTTAATCTATTCCTGGGTTGATGGGCATTTAGGCTACTTCCACATTTTGGCAATTGTAAACCGAACTGTGAATAGTCTCTAGT